CACCAGCTCCAACACCATCTGCCTGCATCTACCCCGCTGGCACTGAAGCGCTCGTTTCCACACAATGCAGCATCAGCGATTGGAACTCCCTCCCTCCCACTCTCCTCTCCCAGCCTCCCCAATGCTAGAAAATGCAATCATTCAAAACGAATGTTTATCGCCATCTTCGCAGCACAAACTGGCTCTAAGCAGTCGATGCCCTATGAATAATGTGATGCTATGACAGTTTTTCCCCCACAATCACTCGTGTTAAGCCTTGGGTTTGTGCATTTTTCTGACCTGTACAGCTCTATCTTCTTAATTTTTTCATTGTTTTTGGTGCGTGTTTTTGGCCCTGACGCCGAGACCTCAGGTCGGCAGAGTCATCAATGCGCCACCATCACTGCTGCGTCTTCATGCAGCGCCTGCTCAACATTTATCGCCTTTGTCCTAGTCTCTGTACCATTGCCTTTCATTATTCTTTTCGAGCTCGTCATGTGAACATAGTAAAAACAATTAAAATAAATAGAAATGAATTAAAAAGTGCCACCCCCAAAGTGTGTGATAATGCGTCTTGTGAAGTATGTGAAGGTGCAACCCATGAAATGTGTTTTTGCGCTAGCCCATCTTGCTGCGTTCTGTTGTAGTTATGGCTGTTGTTTTTCTACTGTTGTTGGACCTACAATGCACATACACTACTCGTCTATAGCCTATTAAGCATTGCAATCAGATAATTTTGCCATGAGTTAATCCTGATCATTTTTGGTTTATTTGGCGTATTGCCAATTGGATTGTACTTGATATTTCCTTTCCTCGCAGTTTTTCAAAGTAAAAACGTACTGAACTCTAATTGGTGTGTTGGTTTACTGTTTCTCTCTATTATCTAACGGCTGAGTACAGCTGGGTGCTAGTTTCCGATAAAATAATTGATTGTAAGTGCTACAAGTATCTAACGATGGACTGAACATCCAGCTATGGCGACAAGAGTATTTCAACGATAAAATAAGGCTTGGAATGTTTATAGACTTGCCCCTTCTGTTCATCTCTTGTTTGCAATAAAATAATTGATTGAAAGTGTATCTAACAATCAACTGAACATCCAGCCATGGAGACAAGAGAATAATGAGTACATGAGACGTTTTCGGTAATTCATAACATTGAGCATAATTGTTCTCTTGAATTATAGTCCTTACGAAATAGCAATGGATTTTGTCGATTATTTATTTAGAGAGAATTTGTTTTAAAAATGCAGCACGCGCTCGCACATTGTCCAAATTTAACATAATCTATAAGGAGGTACCGAACACATGTATGCCGGCAATGTATTCGGTATTTTGAGACTATCCGAGCACCACAGCATTATGGAGCATTGGAAAGGACGAAAATGAGCACTTTGACCCGCACTTTGAACTGAATTTGGAGTAAAGTAGTGTAAAATATCGTGAAATCCCATTTTTTGCAGCAACCCGCTACAATGATGAAGTACATGTACACGTAGCTATTGCCCTGCTGGTGTTACTGGATTGTGGATGACTTTATGCAGACATGAAACACATTGTGGCATTTGGTGTAGCCATGCCTATGTAGTCTGGTCAATGTACTTGTACGAGTACATGTGTCCAATGAATGCTGTTGGAAAAATGTAAACAAGCATTTACAAAGAGGAAAATATTTGGTCGAAAATATTATTATAGAGCCATGGGGTGACGCAGAGTGATTATCGGACAGCCGAAGAGGAGTTTTGCCGTTGTGCCTTTAGCTCTGAAGATAGCGTTGCTAGGCTGGTAGCGATACTGAAGTAGACGCCGATCCTTTGATGAACCAGGACCAGCCTCAAAACAGCAGCTTCAAACAGAAAGAGGAAAACAACACTTTATGTGCAGTACTTTGTACATCGAAATACTGAGAGAGAAAATAACAAAGATCCAATACAATCCAACTGGCTAATATTCGGAAAAGCCCCAAATGTCCAGGATGGGCTGATGGCATTGCTTCATAGTGTCAACATCGGCAGAGCAGAAGCAGAAAACCACAACAACTAAGCCCAGCAACATTATCCGGGCAATGAAAGGTGTAAACTAGGTTAGGGATCATGTGGCCTGCAAACAAGCTGTCACTGCTTTGGTTCTGGAAACAATCTCTTCATCTGAACAGCAGACATACATGTACATGTAAAGCTGATCACAAATCTAGATTACTGAATCCTTATATTATAATAATTAAAATAATTGTTTTTCTTTTCGAGCCAGCTCTGCTGAACGCCGCAAAGGCACTTCGTCGGAATATGTATTATGTATGTTTCCTGTTTCTCTCTATTATCTAACGTGGGGGAAACATTGGGTGCCAGTTATCCCAACAATGATAGACTATTTCAGCTATCTCACGATCAATTGAGCAGCCAGCCATGGCGAGAAGAGAATGATGTGTACAGAATGGGAATTTCCGGCGATTGCAGTAAAATCTGTAACTTTTTGGTCCGGCTCATCGCAAATGTCGCTTATTAAATATCTATCGCCGCTAAGAACAGGAATTTTTTTACCGCTTTGTGAAATTTCCAACACTGCGGCAACAGACATAGTGAGGAAGCATGATACATTAATACTCTTCTCCGCAAAAACAAAATTTCAGCAATGGACTCAGGTGAAGCGAGTCGAAGAAAGGAAGCAAGGTAAGCAAAATGAACGAAATAAATAAGCGAAGGAGCGCGTTCTTGCACTCACACTAGTAATACAGCTCCAGAGTTCATTCAACTCTGCATCTCTCGCTCCGCCGTTACATGAGCTGACATTTGCTCGTGTCTAGCTGCTAGCTGGCGTAGATTGGTAGAGTATCTCTTGCGTTCTCAGCCTATCGGATGGCAGCAATGGGAAAGAAACAGTTGTGGCTGTCACTTCGGTGCTTGAAGGAACCGTGGGCAGTGTGACCTGTGTGTCACCACAGTGTGTTTCAACAAAGCCTTCGAATGAGGCGTACAGGCCTCTCCAGACAGCTGTCATACGCTCCGCTGGATAAGCTGACCACGACTCTTGTAATGTGGCTGCTAGGTCCACCAAGAGAAGGAACAACCAACACGTCGGCGGGGCGCAAGGCATCAAAAACACCTTTCTTCTTCAGCATGACGCTCATACTTGTCTTCCGTGCACGCGTGCTTGTCACCCTCTCCAGGCCAGGATGTCAGCTGCCCCTGCTACAGTTCCGGTCTTCGGGTCGCTGTGCTTGGCTTTTGGCAACACAGACAGTGAATGGCCAGATTCCCACTTCCCAAAAAATTCGAATACATCGCGATTCAAAGCGCTACAATCGCGATCATTTTTTCTTTGGTGCTTCCTTTAATCTTGCCATCACGATCTCCTAAGCAAAAGTAAGTTAGATATCGTGAATGGACTGGGTTTTACCTGTTAAAAAGTGCGTGGGGGATAAGCGACAATTGCGATGAGCCGGACCAAGTAAAGACCACCGGAACTAGCGATCAGCCTGGTACTAAAGACCACTTCGCCAGGCACAGACGGTCTCACATTCATACAAAAATTAATAGTTATGCGGTGCAAGCTTCTAACTAAGGTCCACTTTCTCTGGTCCCAAAGAGTGGTCGCTAGTCACAGGTTTCACTGTACACGTGTGTAGTAAGGAGTGGTTTTGTCACCAAGCTGGCGCGGTCATAGTAAGAGCCTGTCAAGACTAGGTAGAAACCCACGTAAACACGCCGTAAACATGCTTGTTGCCAAGGTGGGTGGCGAAAAATGGCCGAAAACGGGGAACGTGGGATTCAAGCGGAACGTGAGTCGCGGACCCCGGTTCAAAGAACGTTTCTCATCTACATGCCGTTTTCGCAGCGTGTATTTGTGTGAGAGTCGATGGAGTTTTTTTTGCTGTTTCTAGCTGCTGCGTTTGTTTTTGCTTTGGATGTTTCACAATGCTACACGTCCGTTCAAGCGATTACAATGTGGCGGCATTAATACAGTCACGGCTGGACATGCAGACATATCCCGGGGTAGGAATGTGCAGTAGAGACAGAGGGAGAGAGAGAGAGAGAGAGAGAGAGAGAGAGAGAGAGAGAGAGAGAGAGAGAGAGAGAGAGAGAGAGAGAGAGAGAGAGAGAGAGAGAGAGAGAGAGAGAGAGAGAGAATTCACTGAAAATTTGAACGAGTATTTGAACTGTTTGAAGAGGAAGTAGAACCATGTTGCGATGAACAAAATTGACAACCTGAAGGCCAAAGCCAGGGATTTTTACTGGAAATACACGCGGGTCACCACCACCACCGGTTCATCAAGCGATGCTATAGCCGGGTTGACCTTGCTGCTGCGCTGTCGCCAGAGTTTGGGCACATTTCTGTACCTGGAACAGAGTTCCTTGAGCCCGGCGGCAGTGCTGCAATCGCTGGTTAGGTCTAGACCAAGCCAGGAAGTCCTTGCCTGATCTACACATCAGTGCTGTCATCGCTGGTTAGATCTAGACCAAGCCAGGGAGTCCTTGCCAGATCTACACGCTACAAACCGTTGTCACTTGTGAAATATCCGAACGGCCAAAAGTGCAACTGCACATCATTGTAGAGACAACAATGAACATGATTGTACTAATCGTGCACGTAGTGGTGCTCCACTCGTGAGAGAGTGCCGCGGGGACAGAGCACCGTTTGTACGTCGCGTACCATGAATCAGAACGTCGTTTTTATTACATATTGTCGACAGGCCCTTAGGTAGCACTTTCCTGCTTTGCAAGTAGACATTGCGGGAAAGGCACATTGGAGACTACCAACTGTTAGGTACTATTAGGGCTCTGTTGGAGTACTTAGACTTTATACTGAGCTACGTGTATCGGATGAGTGAGCTCTGGGGATAAAGGTTCAAGACGATGTGACACAACTCCTACTAAGACAGGTGTCCAATCATAAGCGTAGGACAATCCCGTTTGTGCCCTTCCTTACTTACTACGTAGCTAATTGTCACAAGTATACGTACGAGTCATACTAGGTACAAGTCAGTGCTTTCCAGCTTGCAAAAAGTCAGTTGATTCTCTGCAAATCAGTTGCAGACACTAGAACCTTGCTGTTGCCGAAGACATTGTAGATGCCCCGAAGAAGAGCTGTCGCAGGAGACATCAGTCACTGATATAACAGGTTCCCTGAATGTAACTGAACTGAAGATCTGCAAAGCAATGGAGCAAGAGTCAGTCGAGCCTGTACTGAACAGTGTTCATTTGGACGTGTGGGAAGCAGCAGTATTACCTTTGTTGTCACTTGCTGACATCTTTCAGCTATGTGGTGTTACGCGAGACGTCCGGGAGCTGCTGCATAATGAAAACACATTCAGGCGTCTGTGTCTGGTGAGTGATGCTTCTTTTCCGAAACTCGACTTCAAACTCGGTTTCAATAATATATTGCCCGATGGAGTTCGGAGAGACGTTCCTGTTGGAGACAGTCTTTCCTTCTTCTCTTTGACTAGCTGTTTCCAATCTTGTTTTTAGAGATAGATTTTCGGCTGACAGGCCTCTTTGACATTGATGGCTTCCGGTAATTTGCGACTATATCCCAGGCTTTGCGAATCTCATTAGTGACACGTAAATATATTGAACATTTGATAAGTGTGTGAGCTGACCGATTGTACGAGGTGATCCGTCTTTTTTAACATTGCGTCATCGTCATTTCTTAAAAAATCGGTAAAAAATCTCAGATGTCCTCGATTGCTGGCCGCGGCATAGCCAGCAATCGCATGTCACCACGTACTTTGAAAATCAACATAATTTTTCGAATCGACCTTGATTACTGAATTCACTAACCGATGTTGACCAGAACTCCATATGCAATCATGGTGATACACCTGTATCTATACAAACTTGAATTCTTGTATTTGGATCAACATGATATTGATCCAGTCTTGCTGGACCACCCTGGATATGTAGGGTGGTCTTGCTGGACCACCCTGTATATGTAGGGTGTATTTCTTTTGAAAACTCAATTAAAATTGTGCTGCTAAATCCTATTATTATGATCAAGAGTGCAAAAACACGAGTATGCAACTGTAGTTATGGGTGGATGAGCGCCGCGCAGTCTTCATTACGCAATTTGCCTCCATCACGCTCTGAAAGCATGTACTCAAACGTACAATTTCTCGTTCGTGTGGAACTGGCGTTCATGCATCAAAATTAATTTTAGAGATCGCATAGGTTCTGGAACGAATCAAGCAAAACGATTGGGCTTGTACGAGAAATTGTACGTTTGAGTACATGCTTTCAGAGCGTGATGGAGGCAAATTGCGTAATGAAGACTGCGCGGCGCTCATCCACCCATAACTACAGCTGAATGATGAAATTAAGCCCTCCTAAAGGGAGCGCGCTGCGCATCTGCCCCATAGAAAAGAGATCAAAGTTGCATACTCTTGTTAATATTCTTGCTATGAGGTTATCATGCGCCATGTGTAATTTTTCCGCTTGGGAGCTGTTTTTTTAGTTTTTTTTTACCATCACACCCTTAGTTAGGTTTCAGTGACCATCATCTCATTAGAAGGATTATACTGGAAAAGCTGAAATTTGTTCATTACAAGGGTTAATCAAGGACATCGAGACGGCTACCATTATGCGTCTCTTGAATTCAAGACAATTTGTCTGAAGTTTGTTGGAAAAGTGATGAGGGCAGATGAGAGGACAATAATGTCCGAGATAACAAATCGAACCAATCCTGAATGGTTAAGCTGGAAATAGAAACAAAGCTATCGTGAATAGTTGAATAAAATTTAGCAGAGTACTGATGTACTTCAAAACCATAATAAAGTGTACTGCCGAATGACACTACTGATTTGCAAACACAACGTGACCATCATTGCGTGAATTAAAAATATTGCATATCAATGAATCAAACAAGTCTCATTCCGCTGTTACTCCGAGTTTCGTGTCAGAACACTTCATCAGACAGCATATGACCAAGACTAACAATCACTAGTATATACACGGAGAAGGGGAGAAGGGGAGAAGGGGGCAAAGGTGATGGAGGTACATTTCAAAAGCGAGAGGAAAAGGGATGACAAAATCAGCGTGATTATAAGAGGAAAAAGATGTTGAGAGTATAGAGCATAGCCAGCGTAGAGAAACAGCGCGATTTTCTGGCAACATATCCGTACAGATTTGTGCTGCATTGTTACACATCAAATTGTGACCTATGGTGGTAAAAAATGGTGATGGGGATTGTGTTGTGGCAATCACTCATGCCAGGCAAGGGGGTGACTACCACACCCACCAAGGCATCGGAAAACCGGCGACAGAAGCCAAGATCCGCAAAAGCGCGTGAGCCATGAGCCCTGGGGAGTGCTCACCATTCCCGCGCCCCGCGGAACCCAGCCCCGACCGCCACCTCCAGTGAATTATGTAGTAGTAGTATTTATAATTTTACTAGGGCAATCCACACAGCCTGTGAGTCTTTTTACAGGGTACCCTAGGTAAGTCCGTGAAATTAAGCTGAATGAAGAAAGCCGTAAGTGCGTGAAATAGAGTAAAGAAAAAGAAAACGGTGGCTTAAAACTATGCCACTATGTGTTGCAAAAGAGGCTGCAAAGAGTACTGTTGAACATTGCAAAGGAGGCTGCCTGGCGGCATGCTGCTGGAAGCGAATTCCACCTGTCAGCATCCAGGTAGGGCAAAGCATAGAAACCGAATCGTGACGAAGCATTAGGCAGGGCTAATGCCAGGGCGGACTTGTCCCTGGTCAAGGCATTGGCATGGTTGCTATTTTATATAAGTACAAAAAGGCTCGGCAAGTAGAGGGCTGCGGCGGCCATGCACACATTTATAGACAAGGCAAATAATTTTAAGGTTATAACGGATGGCGACAGGAATGATTTTGTGGCGGTGACAAATGGTAGCTGTTGGGTGGCATGGTGGTCAGCCAAATGTTATCCTGAGGCTACGCTTGAAGCATCGAATGAGTGTGTCGTATAGGGTTGCTGATATCGTGTGAACATAGCAGTTGCTGGCGTACTCCATGGTGGATTGAATAATGCTTAGGTAAAAGGAACTTTGTGCCTGGGTGGTGATATGATGTCGTATTCTGCGGAATGCGGCCAGCTTACGATTGCCGTCAGCAACAACTTTCCCGACCTGCTCCGTGAAGGCAAGGTGCTGGTCGACTAGCACTCCAAAGTAACGGACACACTGGGAAGGGGATACTGGGAAGTTACCACAGATGACAGTGAAGGTAGGTGGAACTGGGGTTGTCTTCCGTTGGACGATCAATAGTTGCGTTTTGTCGGGGTTCAGCAGGAGGCCCAGTTCCGTGAGGTGTGATTTAACCGCATCGAAGCTCTCTGATAGTCGGTCCTGTGTCGTGTTGATGCCACTGCTCGATGTGTAGAGTCCTAGATCGTCGGTGAAGAGTATGTTAGATGGATGAGTTGGGTTGACTTCTGTTACGTGTCTTGTGTAGATCGTGAAAAGAACGGGACCCAGAAAGGAGCCTTGAGGCACCCCTCGACTACAGGTCACAGAGTCGCCGGATGTTTTTGTGAAGGGGATCATCACCGTCAGTCGACGAGCGCTTAGATAGGAGGCGAACCAAGACAGTGCTGGGTCACAAATATCGCAGGAGTAGAGCTCGATGATGAGTGGCTGGTGCTTGACCCGATGGAACGCCTTGCTCATGTCCAAATATAGTACTCCGATGTATTGCCCGTTATCCAACCGTTGTTGCCACTTTGATATAGCCAGTGAAAGTGCATCCTCCGTGGAATGATCAGAGCGGTAGCCGATCTGTTGAGGAGGAAGAATGTTGAGCTCTGGGTGGGTGTTGATATAGTGCTGCAGTTTATGAAGGCCGATCTTTTCTAGAAGCTTGGATACGATGGGGAGTAGAGATATGGGGCGATAGTTAGAGGGACATTCTGAACTGCCTATCTTGAAGAGGGGGAATACAGACTCTACTTTATATATGTCTGGAAAGGAACCGAGGGAGAGTGATTCGTTAAAAAAGAGGCAGAGTGTGACTTCTATCCAGTGCAATACCAGTTCAAACCATTTAATCCTATAAACTGCCGGTTATACATGTATTAATTAATAATGTGCCTGTTCATGATTTATTTATACTGTGTTTTGCATGCAGAATCGCTATCAGATTAGTCCAAATTTGAAACTGTCGTACATCACAGTGGCGAAGCACCTCTGCATCGCCACCAGAGTATCCAGGATACATGAACCCATATCTGGGACTGGCCATCACTGCGTTGTGGACAGCGGTGATCCTCATCATCATGACTGGGTGTTAGACCAAACAATCCGAACGATCCTGCAATTGTCCAGCCTAGCGTGGATGCCGCCTAAAGCCCAAACCATTATCCGGTACAGCACTCCGCTATCGAAGCCTATAATAAAAGAACTTTGGCTATCATCAACAGAACTCTCTTCCTACCTACCCTATCTTTCAACTGCATTGATTGAGGAAAAATGTAGACTAGGAGAACTGACGACGTACAGTTTGTACGACGCGACACGTTTGTTGTTGAGGATTTGTGGCTCCCATGAAGAGTACCAAACATGTATCCTTAAAAAAATGGAACACGATAGTCCGGGGATTGAGTCATACTTGCCCTACGCAAACCACTCTTGCAAGCTAGTCGAGCTTGCAAAATGCTTTGAATGCGTTTCAAGGAGGGATCCAACATTGCTCTCGTCACTAAAATGTGAGAACCTGGTACCAACACTTCCTCAGCACATTACTACTCGGTGGATTTATAACCCATACGACTACATATTAATCGAGAATGATATGAGTGACCTTCTCAGCGATGACGTGTTGGCGACTCAGAATTGGGTCGACTTCACAGTAAAGCTAGCTGAGTGTCACTCAGTGCTCAAGCTCCTGATCAGGGGACGCCTACGTGTGTCGCAGTTGGAGGATTACTTCTTGGCCGTCATGGAGTACGACGAGCTCTGGCACAGTCTTCCCCAGTCCAGTCGTCCCAGTCAGGAAGTTCTCTACCGCGACCTGGGAAGCTACTTACTTTCAACAATACCAACGTCGCAGTGTGAAAAGGAACTGAGAAAAGAGGAATTGCTGAATGCCATGGAAAGGTGTGGCAAGAAGACTGTTGACAGTTCGACCCGCAAAGCGTGTGACAGTGCGTCGAGCGAAGTGTGTGACGGTGCGCCCCATGAAGTATGTTGCTGCGCTCGTGCATCTTGCTGCGTTCTGTTGTAGTTGTGTAGGTTGTTTTTCTGCTGTTGTTGGACCTACATGTGCATACACTACTTGTGTATAGCCTTTAAAGCATTGCTATCAGACATTTTTTCCATGAGTTACTCCTAACCATTTTTGGTTTATTTGGCGTATTGCAAAATGGATTGTACTTGATCTTTCCGTTTCGCGCAGTTTTTCAAAGTAAAAACGTACTGTACTCTAATTGTTGTGTTTATTTCCTGTTTCTCTCTATTATCTAACGGCAGAGACCAGCTGGGTGCTAGTTTCCGATAAAATAAATTAAATAAATTGGGTCAGCAATATTGAAGATAAGCTCACCTTCCCCTCTTCGGTCCTGCGTAACCATGAACCTTCCAAGTTGAAAGGCTGTTGGTTTGCGCACTGGAGATGTGTTAGAGCTAGGTCTCGGGTCCCTGAATGTCTCAGTAGCCTGTCAGTTTTGTGCCCTATTATCGCACTTTCTGACCGTTTATCATCTCGTTATAGTCGTGGATAGTTGCCGCTAGTTCTCATGTGTTTCTTCTCTTTTTTACATTTTATTACTGGCTCAGTATCGGAGTTTAAATTTTGCGGACCTGATGAGCCGTCAATAACAACACGGCGAAACATACGTCGTGTGGAACTACTTGTAATTGTAGTAAACTCGTCCACAATAGTGTCATGCATGAGGAGTACCGTTAGAGTACACTTTACACACGTTAGAGTAGATTTTGGCGTCCGGTTTTGTACAATTCGTTTTCGCAAAGCTTCCTCTTTCCTTTATCTTCGATATTGCTGATCCACCCAAGTTGGGTGGTGTGTTGCTTTGCTGCTTCGAATTGTAGTCAGACCGCTTTGTCATGTTATTAACTGGTCTCATCATCGTCCTGTTACAGTCGGCATTCTTTGTTGCCGCGCGACTTAGTTTGTGCACATTTTCGCTACGCTCAACTTCCCCTGTTCGGTCCTACGTAACCATGAACCTTCCAAGCTGGAAGGCTGTTGGTTTGCGCACTGGAGATTTGTTAGAGCTAGGTCTCGGGTCGCTGAATGTCTCAGTAGACTTTCAGTTGTGTGCCCTATTATCGCACTTTCTGACAATTTATCATCTCGTTACAGTCGTGGATAGTTGCTGCATAACTCGTTCTCATGTGTCTCTTCTCTTTTTACACTTTTTAAAGTAATTCTCTTTTTTTCGAGCCAGCTCGGCTGGACGCAGCAAAAGCAAGACGTCAGAATATTTATGTTTTCTGCTTCTCTCTACTACCTAATGTGGGAGAAATGTTTGTTGCCAGTGTTCCCAACAATGATGGACTATTAGAGCTATCTCACGATCAATCGAGCAGCCAGCCATGGCGAGAAGACAATGATGTGTACAGAATGGGAATTTACGGTGATTGCAGTAAAACTTGTAACTAAAGACCACCGTGACTAGCGACCAGCCTGGCACTAAAGACCACTTCGCCAGGCATAGACGGTCTCACATTCATAAAATTGGTCATGCGGTGCAAGCCTCTAACTAAGGATCACCTGCCACTAAAGACCACTTCCTCTAGTCCCAAGGGGTGGTCGTTAGTCACAGGTTTCACTGTAGTTAGGAGAGGTTTTGTCACCACGCTGGCGCGTGTATAGCGAGGGCCTGTCCAGACTATGTAGAAACTCACGTAAACACTCCGAAAACATGCTTGTTGCCGATGTGAGAAAACGTCGAACGTGGGATTGAAGAGGAACGTGAGCCGCGGATCCCTGTACAAAGCACCTTTCTCATCTTCGTGCCGATATCGCAGTGTTTGTTGTGTGAGAGTCGATGGAAGTTTATTCTTACTGTTTCAAGCTGCTGCCGCTTGTTTTTGCCTTGGAGGTTTCACAATACCACGCGTCAGTTTCAGCGATAACAATGTGGCGGCATTAATACAGTCACGCCTGGATATGCAGACATATCCCGGGGTATGATGAAGAGGAATGTGCAGTAGCGAGAGAAATAATTCCCTGAAAATTTGAACGAGTATTTGAGAATGTTTAGAGAGGAAGAAGAACCCTGTTTTGATGAATAAAATTGACAACCTGAAGGCCAAAGCCAGGGACAGTTGCTGGAAATACACCGCGGCCACCACAAACATGAACTGGTTCATCAAGCGATGGTATAGCCAGCCTCGACCTAGACGTTGCGCTGTCGCCAGAGGGTGGCCAAATTGTTGTACCGGGAACAGAGTTCCTTGAGCCCGGTGGCAGTGCTGCCATCGCTGGTTAGGTCTAGACCCAGCCAGGGAGGCCTTGCCTGATCTATACGCTGCGAGCCGTTGTCTTTTGTGCAACATCGGTACTGTCAAAAGTGAAACTGCACATCATTGTAGAAACAACAATGAACATGTACTGACAGTACACGTAGTGGTACTCCACTCGAGAGAGAGAGAGAGAGAGAGAGAGAGAAAGAGATAGAGAGAGTGGAGTGTGGACAGAGCACCGCATGTACGTCAATATTTGCGGGATCCGCGTCGGCATCGCTTGAATGTTCGTTCAGAAACACACAAACTAGCCTTCGCATCCGCAGGCCCCCACTATGCCTGTTAACCTTAGTGGCGAACGCAGACCTCACAAGTGAGTCAGGGGAGAGGAGGTTAGTCTCTCAACCAATCGGGCGTGTAACGGCCCATAACCCTGTGAACTGCATTCTTGTTATTCTCACTTCGAGCTGTGAGTACCCAGTTGACCGTGGGTGTCGGTGCAGTTCAACCCGCGTAAAAAGTCTTTTTACACGCTCCCTGCTACCAGCGCGGGTCTTGAACTCGGGACCTCATGATTCGCAGGCAGGCCTGCAAACCAATCTGCCATATGCGTTGGTTCCGTACGTCATGTACCTTGAAAAGGCACGCCGTTTTTATGTTCATAATACTGTGCACAGGCCAGCTTGGTAGCAGTTCCCTGCTCTACAAGTAGACAATGCCGAAAAGGCACAATTGAAACAACCAACTGTTAGGTACAATTTGGCCTCTGTTGGAGTACTTAGACTTTAGACTGAGCTACGTGTATCGGATGAGTGAGCTCTGGGGATAAAGGTTCATGACGATGTGACACAACTCCTACTGAGACAGGTAGGTATATAATCACACGCGTAGGGCATTCACGTTTGTGCCCTTCCTTGCTTACTACGTAGCTCACTCTCACAAGTATACGTACGAGTCATACTAGGTACAAGTCAGTGCTTTCCAGATTGCAAAAAGTCAGTTGATTTTCTGCAAATCAGTTGCAGAGACTGAAACCTTGCTGATGTCGAAGAGATTGTGGATGCCCCGAAGAAGAGCTGTCGCAAGAGACATCAGTCACTGATATAACACAACAGGTTCCCTGAATGTAACTGAACTGAAGATCTGCAGAGCAATGGAGCAAGAGTCAGTCGAGCCTGTACTGAACAGTGTTCATTATGACGTGTGGGAAGCGGCAGTATTACCTTTGTTGTCACTTGCTGACATTTTTCAGCTATGTGGTGTTACGAGACACGTCCGGAAGCTGTTGCATTATGAAAACACATTCAGGCGTCTATGTCAGGTGAGTGATGTATATTTTCCCAAACCCGATTTAAAATTCGGTTTCAATAATATTATTGCTCGATGGAGTTCGGAAAGACGGTACTGTTGGAGACAGTACTTCCTTCTCCTCTTTGACTGGCTCTTTCCAATCTTGTATTTTAGAGATAGACTTTCGGCTGACTGGCCTCTTTGAAATTCATGACATCCGATAACTTGCGACTACATGTATATCCCAGGCTTGGCGAATCCTATTAAATATTGACATGTAAATATATTAAACATTTTATAAGGATGTGAGCTGACCGATGGTACGAGGTGATTCGTCATTTTCAGCATTGCGTCATTTCTTAACAAATTTGTAAAATATCTCATTGCCAGCGCCGGAAAAAAGTCACGTGAAATTTTATTAGAATTCGCATAGCTCAACAGTACAGCAGTACAACTACAAAGAGTACCAAACGGGAACCCAAAAAACAAAAAAACTAAAAAGCAACATCAATTTACTGATTATGCACATTGCTTGAAAGCAAATCACAACAATGATTAAGAGATAAGCTGTCTTTTAGCCAAATAGCCAATTTGACGCGGAAATCTGCGATAGTAGTGCAGGACTTCAGGTCGTCTGGTAAATAATTCCAAACAAGAGCCGATTTACTTGAAAAGGACATAAAGCCAGACATAGATCTATAGCGATTGATACTCATGTTATGAGTTGTTGATCCGCGAAGGAACAAAAATACTGATCGATATTGGAAAGAGGAAACATTGAGGTGGTGAAGAGGTGGCGTGATAATAGCTTGGGGTGATGCGCCACAAGAAACTCGTACAGCGCGCCGGTGGAGTGAGGCTAGCTTGTTTCTATTTTTAGCGGATATAAACGAAAGGTATACAGGGAGAGCATATTCTAGATCAGGCTGAATAACACGGACAACGAAAGTACGGCGGGCAAACAGGTTCATCTGGCGGAAAGATCGGCGCAGTACACCGATCTTCCGTGAGGCTTTCCGAACGACATTGTTAATGTGTTGGTCAAAGGAAAGCTTAATGTCAACAACGACTCCTAGGCATCTGGTGCTTTCCACTTCCCCTTGCGTAACATTTGACAAGGTGATTTGCAGTTGTTGCCTTTGTTGTTGTTGCTGACTCCCTGTGGCACGTTTGGGATGGATTTGCATGACAATGGCATTGCCAATGTGCTGTCCATTTTTCCTACAAAATTGAGACTGGTAGTTCTTTAGCAAGTGACATTGTTAGAGCTTTCAGTCTTCATGTGCGCGATTTTTACGATAATATAGAGTATAAAAATCCATAGGGGCTGGTTTCAACCTTCAGTGACACAGCACATTTAGCTGAGGAGGACGCGTGTGATAGTTTCATACGACTTCAAGTAGAGGCGACGCCTGGAAAGGAGCCGGTATTTTGACCCTTGCAATGGCCAAACATTGGCAAAATTAATACTGAATTCACTAACCGATTTTGACCACAATTGCATATGCAATAATGTAAATACACCTGTTGCTATGCAAGCTTGAATGGCTTGTATTTTGATGAACATGATCTTGATCCAGTCTTGCTGGACCACCCTGGATATGTAGGGTCTATTCCTTTTGAAAACTGAATTGAAATTGTGCTGCTAAAGCCTATTAAAAAAAGTAAATTATCGTGTCCGTTCCCAAAAGGAACTCACGATGGCCGCTAACACCCGATAAACCCTAGTGGCAGATGCAGCGCCTAACGGTGGGGGTGAGTGGATAAGCCTCACAACCACTGGCAAGTGCCGAAAACGACCCCATTAGCTGCATCCATGTACCCCTTGTGCCTGGCCACAAGTTCCCAGTTGACTGTGGGTAGCAGCACGGCTGGAAATACCGGTCCCAGGCCGGCCTTAAACCAGTTACCTCTCGTATCTCAATCATGGTCTTTGGTCAACCCACTGTGCCTGCCTGGTGACCCCCCCCCCCCCTCAATAGGCACCGGCGGATTATGCATAAATTGGCATCCTTTCGGAGGTAGGAGCATAACTACATGATTGTACCGCAATTCTAGTATGTAAGCTACACAATTGTGTACAATGCACCTTATCAGTGCTGGTGGTCTGCATGGTAAGAAATTCGAAGTAGCCCTTTTCCAAAGATGCTCGCCTCTTTTTTCGCAACTTTCCGTTGTATTGGAAGAAATCGCAACTTTCTTCATTTTCACAATTAACTACTTCGCAACTTTCCGCAAAGGTGTGCAAAGAACTGTGCAAGCTATGGGTATTGCTCTAATAATTAAACAAATGAGGAGTTGATGTTTTGTCATGGTGGAAGAAAAGGTGGAGCGTGCTGAGAGATGAGCTGATTATTTCCAGGGTGAGGGTGACATCGGTTGGACGAGTCTGACGATTACGATAACCGAAGACAGTTGAATATGATAATTTTCAAAGGTAACTCAAAATAATTTCGCAATGAAAATTACAAAAGAAATCAACTCATGATTAGAATAAGTCACGTTTTCTCCTTTCCATGTTGATCTCTAGCATGCATGGTCATCTTGGTATGGGGATATCCATGTATTTTGTTGTACTACTGGCCACTTGCAAGTACGTGTACGAAAAGGCACAATTTTCCGAAGTTTGAGGTTCCATAAGTGCAACAAAGTGAATATGTATCCCCACGTGCCAAAGCATAATATGAGGATTTTGCGAGCATAATGCGAGAATCCATGAAAGCATAATTCCATGATTTCGCGAGCATAATCCGCCATAGCTACTCCACTTTTATGTTTATGTATCTACATGTATGTCATTCGGATCTTCCCAAGTTGTACAATGTACTGTTGAGATACCGAATTCAAATAAATCAATACCAATACCATACCATTGCCTGTCCCCCAGCCTATTACTAAGTTTAAAAGAAAGAACCACACAAAAATTAATGTGGACAAATAGCCTTTTTCAATTGCCACCTGCCTCCCAACACGAAGGAGAATGTGAATGAACAACCCACTATTGCAATCTACTGACATCAGTATTCCACCCTCCGAGGAAGAAATGGAAAGATTCGCACCTCGAACCCTACAGAAGGCTTTTTTTACTTTCGTGCTAAATAATAGCGAATCACCTCGCACTCTTGTTATTTATTTTTAATTTCGGAAGGTATTGAAGCACCGTATTCATGCCATCTTAGGGGTGAGACATGGGGCCGGGAAGTAATCATACAGTGATGTAATCCGGCCTTAAAACAAGGGATTAAAAGCTCGCTCGCCTTTACTCTTCTGAGTGACGACCACCAATACCGTGATATGGTGAGCTATGTCATGGGGATTTTGAAGTCAGCTATTCGACAGATGCTACACGTAGTGCACAGACCCTGAGATACAGCACATGTCCAGGATTCACAGTACATTATTTCTGTTCATTGCTACATCTGCTTAGATCGTTGTGGACACGTTAATACAGTTCTGCTCCCAGCTACTTTATACGGTCAAGATAATATCAAATATTGACAATGTTCTGGATAGACAAGAAAGATACAAAATGTAAACGATGAGTTGTTCAGTCAACCCATACCACCACACCATAAGCTATCGTTCAGTAACCATCTCATCAGAAGGATTGTAGTGGAAAAGCTGTACTTTGTTCATTACAAGGGTTCATCAAGGACATCGGGACGGCTACCATATCATGTCTCTTGAATTGAAGAATATTTGGTCAGAAATGTGATGACGACAGATAAGAGGACACTTATTCTGACGGATACTTCACGAACTCCGAAAAGACCCAGCTCCTTGTCAAGCCAGAGCTGGAGCAGGAAGCACGCCAAGTGTTTGCCGACACAGGGATCCGGATTGCCACGGGGAGCTTGCGTTATCTCGGCTCCGAGATTGGATCGGAAGAGGCGGTCGCGGAAAGTGTGCAGCAACGGGTGGCGAAGTGGAAGGAAGAGCTGAAGAAGCTTACAGAGATTGCAAAAACGGAGCCACATGCTGCCTATGCTGCAATATCTCATGGTTTACGTGGTAGGTGGACCTACCTATTGCGTACAGTACCTTTCCCTGCACAATGCCTTACCGACCTTGACAAGGTGATCACAGACGAGCTTCTACCTGCTCTAGCGGGAGGTTATTCCTTTCTACCAGAAGAATAGAACCTTCTCTGCCTGCCCTGTCGACTGGGGGGGGGGGGGGATGGCCCTGCCGTGTTTTCAGCAAATGGGTACGGCAGAGCTTCCTGCGTCGAGAGCTGTAACGGCCCTTCAGGTGGAGGAGATTGTACACCAGAATGATGTTCAATACACCCATAACTCCACGGAGGATGTTGGCCAGGCAGCCCTAAGCGAGAAGACACGGCTAGCGCATGACCGTCGTCAGAGGGAGCAGAATGATTTCGTCACGATCAAGAGCAGTGCGTCCCCTGCCCTGGCTCGTCGGCTGGAGAGTTTATCCACGAAAGGCGTGTCGAGTTGGCTCGGGGTATTGCCTCTGGCAGACCATGGTCACCATCTGTCAAAGGGAGACTTCCGCGACGCTCTAGCTCTCCGCTATCGTTGGTCTCTCTTGGACACACCAGCGAGCTGTGTGTGTGGGGAGCCGTTCGACGCCACGCATGGGATGATTTGCCCCCGCGGAGGTTTCCCGACAATTCGCCACAATGAAGTAAGAGATATCGTGGCGGATCTTCTGACGGAGGCATGCTCAGATGTGGCAGTCGAGCCTGTACTTGCTCCGATCACAAGCGAGGTGTTTTTATCGGCATCAACAAACACCGCGAACGACGCCCGCGCTGATGTCCGAGCTCGTGGGCTCAGAATGCGTTCTTCGATGTCCGGGTCTTCCACCCGGATGCAGCATCATACAAGAGCAAGCCCGTCAGTGATCTTCTGAAGCAACATGAGCGCAACAAGAAGAGTGAGTATGCCGAGCGTATCAACAATGTCGACCGTGGTTCATTTACCCCTCTAGTCTTTACCACGGCGGGTTGTTGTGCTCCGGAGTGTACTGCATTCATTAAGCGGTTGTGTGCATTGCTGGCAACTGCCGATCGACCGTATGCCCAGCTAATGGCCTATGTGCGGTGTGGCTTGTCCTTCGCTTTGCTCAGGGCAGCCATAATGTGCATTCGCGGTGCACGTTCGGCCTACCATCGTCCAGTTAATGCGATGAGGGAGTTGGCCATTGTGGAGAGCGGCTTCTAAGCATGTGATTGAGTGGTCTCTGCATGTTGATCGGGTAGCGGAGTTCCATCACTGACACAGTGTGCGGGTATTGCATTATGAATTGGTTGAGTAGACAGTTCCAGAATTAATTCCGTGTTCGACATTGTTTATTATTATTTATTTATTTTACACATTTTTATTTTTATTTCTTTTTTATTCGTGTTCGATATTGAATTTTTATTTATTTATATTTTACAATTATTGTTTTTATTCCATTTCACATTTTTCATTCGTGTTGGGTTTAACTACTCACTGTACTGATACATGGTGATGATTGTGCTTTGCTTTGCCCGTAAAAGAGGCATTCCCAACAGATAAGAGGACACTTATTGTAGATAGGATGGACAAATAGAACCAAACCTGAACGTTTAAGTTGGAAAAGGAACAAAGCTATCGTAAATAGCTGGCTATGTCTTTAGCAGTGTGCTGATGTACTACAGAACCATAATACCGTGTACTCCCGAAAGGCACGACTGATTTGCAAACACAACGTGACCATCATTGCGTGAAATGGGTAACTTCTATCCAGTACAATACAAGTTAAAACCATGTAGTCCTTTAGTCTGCCGGCTGCCGCTTATACATCTAATAATTAAATAAAGTGCCTGTTAATGATTGATTTATGTTGTGTTTTTTGCCCCATGCATGCAGAATCGCTATCAGATTAGTCCAAATTTGAAACTGTCATACATCTTAGTTGCGAAGCACCTCTGCATCGCTACCAGAGTATCCAGTATACATAGAAGCAAACCTGGGCCTGGCCATTACTGCGTTGTCGACAACGATGATCCTCATTATTATGACCAGGCGTTCAACCAAAAAGTGAGAACGATTGTGCAATTGTCCAGCCTAGGGTTCATGGCGCCTAAGTCCCATACTATTCTCCGGTACAGCCCTCCGGTATCGCAGCCTTTAATAAAAACACTTGGGCTACCATCAGAAGAAACTTCTTCCTACCTACCGAAACTTCCAACTTCATTGATTGAGGAAAAATGTAGAAAAGGAGAAAAGCTGATATACAGTTTAAACGACGCGGCAGGTTTGTTGTTGAAGATTTGTGGCTCCCATGAAGAGTACCAAACATGTATCCTGAAAAAATTGGAACAGGATATTCCGGAGACTGAGTCATACTTGCCCTATGCGAACCGCTCTTGCAAGCTAGTCGAGCTTGCAAAATGCTTTGAATGCGTTGCAAGGAGGAATCCAACATTGCTCTCGTCACTAAAATGTGAGAACCTGGTACCAACACTTCCTCAGCACATTACTACTCGGTGGATCTATAACCCATACGACTTTTTGTTAATCGAGCATGATAAGAGTCACCTTCTCAGCGATGACGTGATGGCGACCCAGAAATGGATCAACTTCACAGTAAAGCTAGCAGAGTGTCACTCAGTCCTCAAGCTGCTGATCAGGGGAAGTCTACGTGTATCGCAGTTGGAGGATTACTTCCTGGCTGTCGTGGAGTACGACGAGCTATGGCACAATCTACCCAAGTCTAGTCGCCCCAGTCTGAAGGTTCTGTATCGTGACCTGGGAAGCTACCTACTTTCGACATTACCAACCTTGCGTTGTGAAAAGGAACTGACAAAAGAGGATTTGCTGAAGGCTATGGACCTGTATGGCAAAACGACTGTTGACAGCGCGACCCGCACAGTGTGTGACAGTGCGTCGGGCGAAGTGTGTGACGTCACGACCGATGAAGTGTGTTGCTGCGCTCGTGCATCTTGTTGAGTTCTGTTGTAGTTGTGGTGATTGTTTTCCTGCTTCTGTTGGACCCACAATGTACATACACTACTCGTCTATAGCCTATAAAGCATTGCAATCACATTTTATTGCCATTCGTTACATGTTCGGTTTATTTGGCGTATTGCCAATTGGATTGTACTTGATATTTCCTTTTCTCACAGTTTTTCAAAGTAAAAATGTACTGAACTCTAATTTTTGTGTTTTTTTCTGTTTCTCTCTTATATCTAACGGCAGAGACCAGCTGGGTGCTAGTTTCCAATAATATAATTGATTGTAAATTCTACATGTCTTAGGTATCTTATGATCAACTGAACATCTAGCCATGGTGATAATAATGAGTACATGGGACGTTTTCGTTAATTCGTAACATTGAGCATAATGGTCTTCTTGAATTAAAGTCATTACGAAATAGCAAGGGATTTTGGCGATTCTTTTTTAGGAGAGGATTTGTTTTAAGAATGGAACACGCGCTCACACATTGTCCAAATTTAACATACTATATGCCGGCAATGTGTTCGGTATTATGAGACTATCCGAGCACTATAGGATTATGGAGCATTGCAAAGGACGAAAATGTGCCCTTTGAACAGCACTTTGACCTGAATTTGGAGTTTCCTAGTCGAAAATATCGGGAAATCCCAGTTTTTTGGCAAAATTCCGCTACACTCAAGAGGTACGAGGTGATTCGCAATTTTTGGACATGTCGCAATTTTTGGACAAATCAGTTAAATAATTATGGAAGTAGAGTCTTCCTGAGTCGTTGTCCTTTCCTTGGTGGACAAACTTTGACAAGAGTGTCTTCGTGTGGTCCTCACGTTTCTTCGTGCCAATTGTTAGCGGTGAAGGCCGTTTCTTTCTCGGGCGTTTTCTTTATTATTCTAAGGCAATGTAATGAGTAATTTTGAAAATTTCGATGAAATAATAAATGATTGAGGATTCCCTTGACTCTACGACATATAACGGAGAGAATGCCGACATGGGGGTGTTGTATCCCTTCCATCAACTCCAGAGACTACGTCTTCCAGCTCGAATCCGCCTGGAAGAGTCTCCTCGCCTTCTCAACCGGTGCGTTTGTGGAGGGGTTCTGGTCAGGAGAAATCTCTTTTAGCAGTGCCACCGTTCCACTCACCTGGCACCAGTGAACACTTCCTGATCAAGAAGGACGCAGCGGCTAGTTACGGCGCTAGACCTCCAATCTTCGCGAAATATTAGAAGGAGATGGCCACACTGGAGTGCTCTCCCCTGTTCTTGAATATGACGTCCATGAAAACCCTTGAGTGACCCTTTAAATTGTGTGTCACATTGAAAAGCCTTGAAAAGCGTGCTATGAACGGCCTGTCATTAGAACTCATATCCTCCGGTCTCATAGGCATAGCCTTACCCCATTTTCATGTCCTGTGCAAGTTTTACTTGTTCACACCATTCCAGACTGCTGCTAGATGCGATTTTATTTAGTTGTCCAATACTTGCTCGCATTGAAAAAGCAGCAGAAAAAGACACCTTCGATCAGGTCAAGTTGTGGCCGCATGCTTCAACTCTATGCCTTCAGGTGTGAGTGGTGCTGGTAAAGCATAAGTGTGCCAGTAGAAAAGCAAGAAAGAAATTTAATTTATCTTACAAACCAACATAATGGGGTGCTTTTTATTTTGAGTGTCCAAAAATAGCAAATGACCTCGTACATGTACACGTAACTGTAACCCTGTTCATGTTACTGGATTGTGGATCACTTTGTGCAAACACGTAACGCATTGTGGCATTTGATGTAGCCATGCCTATGTAGTCAGGTCAATGTACTTGTACGAGTACGTGTGCCAAATGAATGCAAATGGAAAAAATTGAAACAAGCATTTATAAAGAGGGAAATATTGCAGGGAACTTCACTTCAAACTCTCCAACTACCGTCTCTTCGCTGCATAAGTTCACTTCATTTCCAAAATAAATACATAAAATTATATATAAATGGAATGCACCAAATTTTCGGGCATGGAACAGTGTGATCCTTTTTGCTTTTCTCAGTTTGACAGCGAGGTCGATGTAGGCTAAATTCGTGGCGATACCGCTGACGCAGTTACAATTTTAATGAAAAGTTAAGAAAATACCTGTTTACTCAAGGCGTTGTTGATCACACTGGTGGCGTAGACGAGCCGGAGCAGCCTGACAATGGAGGGGTGAGATATGTCGCAGTCGATTCGAGACGCTCGTGTGAAGAACCGGCCGCATTTGAGTATAAACTCGAATGCGCCGATCGAGAAAGTATTTAGAATTTGAAAATTTGTTGACAGTGCCGTGTGGCTCGTAGCAGGAAGTAGCAAAGGCAGTTCGTCGGAATGTTTACATGTATGTTTCCTGTTTCTCTCTATTATCTAACGTGGGGGAAACGTTGGATGCCAGTTTTCTCAACAATGATAGACTATTAGAGCTATCTCACGATCGATCGAAAGGCCAGCCAAATCGAGAAGGTATTAATGTGTACAGAATGGGAATTTGCGGTTATTGCATTAAAACCTGGAACTAAAGACCACCGTGACTAGCAACCAGCCTGGTACTAAAGGCCACTTCGTCAGACATAGACGTTCTCACATTCATTAAAAAAATTAACAGTTATGCGGTGCAAGCCTCCAATTCAGGACCATCTGTCACTAAAGACCACTTTCTTTGGTCCCAAGGGGTGGTCGTTAGTCACAGGTTTCACTGTAGTTAGGCGTGGTTTTGTCACCACGCTGGCGCGTTTATAGTAAGAGCCTGTCCAGACTAGGTATAAACCCACGTAAACATGCCGTAAACATGCTTGTTGCAAAGGTGGGTGGCGAAAAATGACCGAAAACGGGGAACGTGGCATTCAAGCGGAACGTTAGTAGCGGACCGCTGTTCAAAGAACGTGTCTCACCTGCTGAACCATAAGGTCACAAACCCAAAACCACAAAAAAAAACACAAACCACAAGGCCAGCAGGAAAACTGCTGCCACTGGGCCAGTTTCGTCCTACAGGTGGAATTCTCCATTGATGCCATGATCAAAACCTTGACTTGGCGGCGCTCCACGTCTGTTTCCAGAATGCGAATGTCCATACCAAGTGACACAACCCAAAATAATGGATATACGATGCCACGTGGAATTTTCGTCAAACTTACGATCACGAAAAACAGCCCAAGAACAACCATACCTTCTTCTTGATATCCTTGAGATCTCGTAGCAGTCCGCTCATTCGCGGATCGGGCAGCGGAAAATCCATACTGCCCATCCATTTGAACGACCGGGTCATCACAATCACATAAACATCAATGTCTCTCTCGTTGACAGCACACAATGTGTCGGATCCTGTTCACTGCGCCAAATGTCGTATCCGGATCGGGCAGCGGAAAATCCATACTGCCCGTCCATTTGAACAACCGGGTCATCACAATCACATAAACATCAATGTCTCTCTCGTTGACAGCACAACATGTGTCGGATCATGTTCACTGCGCCAAACGTCGTATCCGGTCGGCCCGGGGTTAGACCCCAAGGCTGCGGTTCGTCGACATAACTAACTTACAACACCTTCACATTACAAGGCCATGCAGTGGTGGCCGTTTGGAGAGAGTCCACCAACAGAATTACTCTTACGCACGCACGCACATATACCTAGACATACTCTCACACACACACACACTCAGGCATATACAGACACGTACACTCACACCAGCTCATAAGGTTTACTCACATCTTGAAAGGAGCTAACTTATTTCAAGAGCTGATATTGAGAGCACAAGGCAAGACAGACGACAGTCGAAGCTTCCGCCTGAAGGCGTAAGGCAAGAGAGAGACCTAGAAAGGCGATTGCCATAATATCTAACTACGGGCAGGAGGCTAATCCCCCCGTACGAACTATAGGGCAAATAATGAACCATAGTACATGTACACCTGCATGCCACAGTGTA